GCGCTACCGCTTGAGCCACATCCCCAGCCTTTTGGCAATGGGGGTTGGGGGTGCATCTTGAGGTGTGAGGCAGAGAAGAGTTTGTGGTGTAAAATCAGGAACTTGGCCTTGGACATATAGAGTATGAGGTGTCTCTAAGAAGTGGAGACCCTGAGCAGGGTGTAGTGGTGGCCACCTGTAATCCCAGCAGTTCAGGAGGCTGAGGCAGGAGGGTCACAAGTTTGAAGTCAGTCTCAGCAATTCAGTGAGGCCCTAGGAATTTAGTAAGACCCTGTCTCAAAATTTAAAAAATAAATAAATAAATAAAAGGGTTGGGGCTGGAGCTCAGTGGTAAAGTGTTTCTGGTTGTATCCCCAGTACCAAAAAAAAAAAAAAAAAATGGAGACATTGAATGGGCAGTTGGCATTTGGAAGAGAGGTCTTGGCTAGAGGCATACATTTGGGAATCATGGTCATGTGGGTAGCAGTTGTGGGCCCATGAAACTTAAGGAGATCATCTGGAGGGAATGGGGGGGCGCAGAGACCTATAGGGGACAACAGCCCTTAGGAAACAGGGCACTGAAAAGCTCTCTCTCTCTTTTCCTTTTCCTCCCTCCCTGCCTGGTACTGGGGATGGAATCCAGGGCCTGGCTAGGCCATCGCTCCACCTCCGAGCTGCATCCACAGCCCAGGAAAGAATTTCTTCAGCCTGAAAAAGGTTTGATGCCCCAAACCTATGGAAACCGTCCTGCCGTTGGGAAAACTGTTGCAGATGCTCTTCCCCCAGGGCTGGTGATTCCAGGCGCTGCGTGCGGTCCAGCGCTGGGTCCACAGCGGGGAACATGCGGGAGTCCCAGCGGCGAAGGCGCCCCTATGTGGCAGCAGGATCAACCCTGGCGGTCGGTCCCGCTTCAGCACGGAGGGCTGCGGCCACAGACAGCGCGTGGCGACTTAGAGCAAATCCAAGGACCTACTAGACGCCACAGCACAGGACCTCTGGGGAGCCGAGAGGACGCGGAGCAGGGATGACGATAAAGCAAGGGCGGAGCGAGGATGGGAGCTCACTCGGGAGAACAGGGGGGCAGGGCCCGCGGGGGCCTGAGGCGCGGTGCAGCGGCGTGGCTGTCCTTGTGGCCACGTGTGCCCAGCCTGCGGCTCTGGAGAGCCAGGGCCACCTGCCCCCTGGCCCGGCGCACAGCCGCGCTCTGCCAAGGCGGCTTAACCAGGCCGCGTGCGTCCAGGCCAGGGCCGCTGAGCTCTGCACTGGGATGGGCTTGGCCTGGACCAGGTGCCCTCTCCTCTCTGCCCAGGACTGAGAGGGGGTGGGGACCTGGGAGCCGAGCCTCCTGCTGGCTCCTCCCCGCAGACCCTTGGCCTCTTGGGAGGAAGCTCCAGTGGCCTCTGGCAGCCTGGGGGAGGGGCCCAGTCGGGGGCTTCGGGCCCGGCTGTCCACTGCCCTCTGCCAAGTTCCACCAGCTCAGAATGGGGCCTCGGTGTCGCCAGCCCCTTCGCCACCCGCCGGGCCTTCTCTGCCAGGCCCTGCTACGTGCCCTGACTGTCTAGGAGCCCCGAGGAGCGGCTGTTTGGCAGGACATGGGGTGGCCGAGGGGCCAGGCTGGGCCCTGGGGATTGTAGCATCTAAGCCCTGGAGCACCTGGGAGTCGGTGAGAACCAGCCTGAGTCTCGGCAGATCCAGGACCATCCCAAGACAAGGGAGGACGCTCAACTTGGTCCCTGTGACCCGCCACATGGCGTCACAGCCCCACCTGACAGCTGGGGGCAGAGCAGAAGGCCAGCGACTGCGGGGAACACCCAGCTCACCCCAGGCTCAGCCTCCTGCCACCGAGAGGGAGCCTCAGCCACCGCCACTCAGCCCACAGAACGACACTCAGCAGGGGGGTGTCCCTACCTGAGTGGCCCGGCCAGGCGGCCCGTGAAGAAGCAGAGCAGGCCCAGGGCCAGCATGAAGAGGAGGAAGCTGAGGACCCCCGTGAGGACCACGTGCAGGGTGGGCACCAGGAAGGCCATCTGGAGGGAGGGAGCCCTCAGGAGGGACCACCCTGCACCCACTGCCACTGGTCTTGGATGCTGGCTCCAGAGCCCTGGTCAGTGGCACTGACCTGGCCTTATCCCCAGGTTAATCCTGGTGATTAGCTGGGGGTGTGTGTGACCCATGGGCTCCCCTCCCCCACTCC